TAAGCGTTGGCGTGTGGACACCGACTTCGAGCCACTTGCCTGCGCGTTGAACAGCATCCGTTGCACCAAGGACCATGTTCATTCCGAGAACTTCAATCTTCGCGAGACGCAGCACTACCCTGTTGCCTTGTGTGACAAAGTGTTGCGATCTTTGAAGTGAGCCCAATACGTCGCGTCCTCAGCTTAGACTCAGAGACGCCGCAGACCCGCAGCTGGTAACCTCGAGCTGAGTGCCAGTTAGAGTTTCTTTCTTTTAGTGACGAGCCATGGACGAGCTTCTTTGGCTTCTACTTGCCACGGCAACAGTGTCCGCTGCGGTGGCCAGTTTGGTCACTTGGTGCTTGGTTGCTCCCCGGAAGTCGATTAGTTTGAAAACGCAAGTCAGACTTGACGATCCGGATGAATCAGAAGAAGATCTTTCGACAGCTTTGCCTACTACAACTTTGGACGAACACAGCAAGTTCTTTCTTTCCTCAGCTGGCAAGACTTTGCACCTCTTTCCAACGTGCCCAGGTCGCCACGCCAGGCTGAAGACCTTTCGGGTGTGCATCAATTGCATCAACCGCCTTGATTCTGCACCAACTGTCGGAACGAAGCAACCTCCAAGAGGGGGTAAAGGAATTCGACACCGTTGATGTGGGATGGAGCTTGCTTCGCATGGTTGCTTAAGTAAGTTGTCGTTTGTTTTTGCCCTGAAGAACCAACACCTGTCAGCAGCGAGAGCAAAAGTGTTTCAAGTCGAGTTTTCTTTCACGTCTGAGCAAGTAGAGAATTTCATGCAGAACGGCATGGTATTTGCATGTTTTGAGCATGTTTGAGCATGTCTGAAGAGTCTTGAGCTTGTTTTGTGCCAACTGCCTCAAGGATGAGACTGCAGTTTGAAAGGATCCTCAAGGGAATCTTTGTGAAGTGCTTGAAGTGCTTAGCAGAAGCACTAGTGTCTCTGAGGGGCCTGAGTTGGTTGTGCGAGTTTGGTTGCAAGCTGTAGTTCAGAAGTTTTGCTGCAGTGAAAGCGTGACCGAACTGCTTGGCTCAAGCGCGAGTGTGAAAAAGAAGTCCGAGTGCAACGCTTCGCTTTGCAGTTTGTCCTGAGCCACTTCGTGAAGTTTGTTTTCCGACTGGGAGAGCTTCGTGAGCTTTTGGTTGCAACTTCAAGGTTTTGAACTTGGTTGTGACGGTCTCGAAGTTTTTCGACAAAGGCCTGCCAGCCAGGACTCACGCATGTGATGTGGCAAAATGCCAACCTCCGTATGAGGTCGGCTCGGCTCCTTAACGAAGACGGAAAACCCTCCTTGGGCATCCGTTGAAGGCTCTGTGACGAAGATGACACCTACAGATTCGCGGCTGCCTTGTGCAGGCACAGTGGGTGCGAACGACCATATTGGATCGTCCGGAGCAGGTAATCCCGCGTTGGCGGAGGCCTGCAGATCGAGGCACAGGTCCTGCAAGTCAGCAACCGCAAACAATGCAGTCGAGGCTGCGTCGTAGTCAGAGAGAATGATGTATTTGCCCGGGAGCAGGGCTTTGAGTACTCACAGCGCATAGACCTTGCCCCACCAAACTACCGCTCTGTGCAGGCCCGTTTCTTGCCGTAGAGGGAAGAAGACACAGGCGTGTCGTTCTTCATGCCGACCTGTCCAGCAACATCGGTTGAGAATGTGAGGCAGGGTATGGCGGGCCACTCTGATGGGCCAGCTTCAAATCGCCATTGCTGACCTGCTGATGATGTGCTTCAAGAGTGGACTCCTTCCAGCTCGACGCGGCGAGTTTGATTCGAGAATGTTCACGTTCCTAGGTGCGTATCGAGGCACTTTTCGGCTGCTCCGCTTCAAGACATCTCAGCTTCTCTCTCTATTCAGGCCGCAGACCTGTTGCACAGTGCACTATGGCGCCTGCCTTCGTGTTGCTGCTATCTCTGAGGGATGGGACCTCCGGGCGGTAGTGGCCTATTGGATACGAGGACCACAAAAGAAAGAATTTTACTTTCCAGACCGGTTGTGGCGCTTCGCGCATTCCGACGCATTTGACTAAAGCGATGGTCCTCCTCCACCGGTTGGTAGCCAGAGAGGACAATCAGACGCAGGAGCTGCCGGGTGGCGAGCGTTTCTGAGTCAGACGGGCATTTCTGGGCGCATAAAGAATGGAGGACAGCGGCTGAGGAGTTCCACAGGCAAGAGGGCCTCGAACCGGACCTCCAATTGCCGTGTGTATCCACCGACTTAATGCTACATCTGCATGCCCCAGATCAGGACAGTCACTAATACACTTTTCGAAGAGTGAAGGAAATCTGTCAGAACGGCAATTACCAGCTGCTCTATCTCTTTAAGGAGCTTGACTTCACACGCGGGCAGAGACAAAGGGAGGGAGAGCAGGGTGAGGCAATCCGTGGGGAGGCGGCGCGCAGTCAGTGCTGGATCCTCTTTGGCAGACGCACCTGTGTCCGGGTCCGAATCTTTCCTGCCGGATCATAGAGGGTGTAGCAGGCCCGTGGTAGCCACTGGCGCCAAACATGACCGTTTCAGAGCTTTGGTGGCGTACCTGCGACGACACGAAACGCTGCAATCTCCTGAGCAACGTCGTGTTGATCGTATCCGAGGCAATGGCATAAAGGTAGAATGCCTCCGGCACAGCGGTAACCAGCGGCTCAACTTGCCTCCGACACACGGTCGCTGGCTGCTGGAACACCATGTGTGTTCCAAGTCACTTCCCTTCGAGCGGTCGTGACATGCAGCGTCTACTTGATAGCTGGCCGCGCTAGGCGGTAGCTGGCCTTCCGGTTGACAGTTACCTGTAAGATCTATTTCATGTAATTTTACACGTTCGGAAAATTTACAGGCCAAAAGCTCTATAAATTATTTAAATTGGTGTGTAAAAAAATTACAGGTTTTCGTGTAAATTCTGGCGTGTAAATTTTGTTCTATTTTGTTCAATGGGCCAAGCTGTGCCGAAAAGGTGTTTTGAAAACCAGGCACTGGGAAGTGGGAAGTGCGAAGTGTGGAAAAAGTAGTGGATTCCGAATGCCGGGCAGGCCGACGTGGCGATGGGGTCGTATAGATTCCGAGAGCGAGATTTGCCGACAGAGACAACATGTACAGTTGTGACTCCGAAGGCCGAGCACAAGCCAAAGTGCCCGCGAGCATGGCTTGTCTTGTTTCGGTGAAAAAACAAAAGAAAAAGAGAAAGAGAGAGCCAGAGAGCGAGAGAGCGAGTTATCGGGCAGGGCTAGGGTTCCCCTTTGTCGTTTGGTGTGACACCGAGTATCGCACTTGGCAGGATGCATTTTTATGATATATATATATATGTATCCTCTAAACCACAGGAGCTCCTGAAATCCGTTCTTGCTTGTGTGACTTGTGCATGATTGTCCGTGAAACAGTATCACCTACCCCCCGCCATACATCACTGCAGGGCCACTGGCCTGCGGCTTGAGGGCAAGTCCCTGCACCACTCCTCGACCGGCAAGTCTGGATGCAGATCCAGTCGGCAGCACTGGACCTCCTCCCGTAACCGGCTCACGGAGGTCAGCTGCTAGAGGCCAAACAGCCGGATGGCAAGAAACCGGTCGTTTTCAAGGGGGTCATGAAGGAGGAGGAAGCAGACAAGCTTCCGTCCGGGCTTTCGGGGGCGGCAAAACCGGAAGCACACTCCTGTGACCTTGTTGAAGGAAGGTGCACACCCCTCGGGCATGGCGGTTCCACCCTGGCCGAGTGGAGGTGAGACTTACACCGGTGTTTGCAAAGACCGCGGGGGAGGCCATCTAAAGCCGGAAGGCATTGCGAGGGCACTTGTGATTTTCATGATTAGAATTAGGGCTGTGCCGGGCCGTGTGTCTCTGCTCAAGCCCGCCCCTGTCCCTTTCTTGGTGTTACACCGAGTCAGGGCAGGGGTGGGTCTCTCGCACTCAGCTCAAGCCCGCCCCTGTCCCTTTCTTGGTGTTACACCGAGTCAGGGCAGGGGTGGGTCTCTCGCACTCAGCAGAGGACTTCCTTTTTTGCACTTATTACGAACATATAATATGGATGTTTTTTTCTGGTTTAGGATATATATATGTATATATATATATATATATGTATATATGTCGGGTTGTCGATACATATATATATATATATATATATATATATATATCTATATAGGGTGATTGAGAGACGAGCAGAACAAGTTCACAATCCTGTATCGTTGATAGATGCACAGTGTGCTTTGATGTGACCGCCCTGGATGGCCGGCTATGGTGCGGTGGCAGGACTTGCTCGAACAGTGAATGTGCTCCCGGTTTTGGTGATCTTTTTATCTTTGTGTGGCAGGACAGGCAAGCCGAAGATCTGCGGAGCTCCTCGTGGTCCTGGCAAACATTCTCGGTCTTTTCGTGGCAAGACCTCCGAGAGAGAGAGAGAGAGAGAGAGAGAGAGAGAGAGAGAGAGAGAGAGAGAGAGAGAGAGAGAGATATCAGAGAGAGAGTGAGAGAGAGAACTAGAGAGTGCGTGTGAGAGCGAGAGAAGAGAGAGGAGAAAGAGATAGAGAGAGAGAGAGAGAGAGAGAGAGAGAGAGAGAGAGAGAGAGAGAGAGAGAGAGAGAGAGAGAGAGAGAGAGAGAGAGAGAGAGAGAGAGAGAGAGAGAGAGAGAGAGGTGCTTGTGTGCTCACAAGACCGGATGCCAAAGCATGTGCACACATGTGCCTGTGTGTGTGTGTGTGGTTTGCAGCCTTTGGTGGCTTCGCGAAGCAGCGGCAACTTTTTTTTGGTGTGCAACCGTCGGACGGGTTGCGAAAGCATGTTATGTTATTGACAGGTTCACACACACATGTGACATGTGGTAGCAAGCAGCTTTTTACTTTCTTTGTGCCCGCCTGTCCCTTTCTTGGTGTTACACCGAGTTAGGGCAGGCATCTATAAGATGGTTAGCGAATGTATGTTATTGTTATATAGTTTAGATGTGTTTTTAATTGTAGATTTTGTTTGTGTGGGCACCTTTTATATATAGATCTAAATTCGTAGCTCCTCGCCATGGAGCCGGCCAGCGGGAGTGTGAAGAAGTTGGACAAGACGGCCCTGGAGGGGCTCGATGCCCGCACCGAGAGCACGAAAGTGCCGGAAGATGTTGTGATGGAGGAGCCAGACCCTCCGTCCGACAACGAGACCATGAGCACCGCAAAGCGGTCCAACAGCAAGCCGGAACATGGAAGAGGCCCTCTGCGTGAGGCGAAACAGGCCAAGAAAGCTTTGATCCACAGGGGGATCATCACGAAGGAGGAAGCAGACAAGCTGCCCGTCGAGGAGATTTTGAAGATGGTGAAGAAGTACCGCCAGGGCAGCGGCAACCTCACGGAGGCTCTCCTGGAGCAGCTCGCGGAGAACCAGAAGGAGGACCTGTTCAAGAAGCTCTTTGGAGAGTTTCAAGAGAGCCCGGGCATGAAGATGCCGGAGATCTCGGACGAGCAGGTTGAGGAGGCTGACAAGGTCCTCACTTCCTGCTTTTTGTACCAGAAGTGCCCCTTTTGCGACAAGTACGTGGACGAGTGGCACGTACTGAATAAGGACCACAAGAGTTACATGAAGGAGCACCTCAGGTCCTCGTACCTCCTCACGGACCCAAGTGCGATGAGCTCGGAGGCAGTCCGGGGGTCCTTCGCGAGAGTTCGGCGATTCGGCGGGGGATTGCACAGTTTGTCGCTGGCAAACAGTGTGGAGTACTGGGGCGATGTGGAGAAGCTTCCGTCCCTGGTACGGAGCATCCATGCCACCAAGGCCATGAAGGTGAAGTACGGCGAGAGCAAGAGTGCGAAAACGTTTGAGTTCAAACAGGATCAGGTGGGCTTGTGGGTAAAAAGGAGAACCAATAAAGAATAACGATAAGGTTTGTAGAATTTTTATAGAATAGTGTAGGAAGAGTGACCACAGAGGGGGTTTGGACACGAGCCCAGGTGGCCAAGTACCATCTTGCCTGGGTGTCTTATGCTCCTTCATCCGGCAAGTACAAAAATGCCTCGTACTCCAAGGACCACCTGAAGCTCCACACCGAGCCCCAAAGGCCTAAACTTTTTAAACCCTGTAAACCCTCTCTATAACCCCTCTAAAAACCCTATACCCTCTAAACCCTCTAAACCCTCTAAACCCTCTAAACCCTCTAAACCCTGAACCCTAAACCATAAACCCTAAACCCTAAACCGCGGCCCTGAGGAACCCGCAGATGGTCTTCGAGAGCCCCGAGCTCGAGAGTAGCTGGTGGCCTGTGGTCCTGCTCCAGAGGCCTGAGGATCCCGAGTTCGAGAACATGGCGAACATCGCGGGCACCCAGACCATCCTCATCATTTGCTGGTACCAGATCATGGAGGACGGCTTCTGGGTCTGGGTGATGACCATCGAGGAGGTCTGAAGCACTCCCGGACATCCCTGAGAAAACTGATACCTTTGTCATTGCGGTTTTGAGCTCCCACACAAACTCCCCTGTTCCTTTCTTGGTGTTACACCGAGTCAGGGCAGGGGAGGGAGTGTGGGAGCACCCCGTCCCTTTCTTGGTGTGAGTTGTGTGGATGTTATAAGAGGGGTTGACGTATATTTATTACTTATAATGAGCTAACACACAAACTCCCCTGTTCCTTTCTTGGTGTTACACCGAGTCAGGGCAGGGGAGGGAGTGTGGGAGCAGGGAGGCAGTATCATAGGGGTTGACATATATTTATTACTTATAACTATTTACCACCAAACACAGAACATGGATAGTCACACCGAGTTATATAAGGCAGGGGAGGCCTGGCACGGCCATCGCACAGGTGTAGCATCTTCTGCACCCCGAAAAAAGCCTCTGTGTGGCTCGGGCTGCCGTCTTGCTTCTCTGTTTCACCTGTGACTCACGGCCTTGTGCCTTCGCAAAAATCTCTATGCAGGGCGGCAGCTACATGTGTGTTTGATGGACGTGGTGTTGCAAATGTGGTGGTACGGCTGATAACATCGATTTGTTCTTTGTGCTTTTGCTGCCGCAGGAAATCCTTCGATGCCTGTGGGACATCATGTGCAAGCAGCAAGCCTCCGCCAAGGCTCGGGCAACTCGACATGTGTTTGATGACATTGTAGTGCCCAATGTGGTGGTACGGCTCATAACATCGATTTGTTCTTTGTGCTTTTGCTGCCGCAGGAAATCCTTCGATGCCTGTGGGACATCATCTGCAAGCAGCAAGCCTCCGCCAAGGCTCGGGCAACTCGACATGTGTTTGATGACATTGTAGTGCCCAGGCTGTCTTCGCACAGTGTCAGGGGAAGAGAGTATCATAGCAGTCCCCTGTCCCTTTCTTGGTGTTACACCGAGTTAGGGCAGGGAAAGCTCTCAAGCCCAAATCTCCACACCTCTGTAAAGCCCTTCAAACCCGTCAAGCTTGGGGTTTTGGGTTCCCCCCCATTGTACTCGAGCTATTAACCCTATGGGCTTCAGCTTGAAAGGTTCAGGGTTAGGGTTTACTCTAGAGCTATATATAGCTTTCAGAGCCATCAAGGGTTCAGGGTTAGGGTTTACTTTAGTGCTATATACACACAGCTTTTTGAGAGCCATGGCTACTCGTCTGGATCGTTTGATGCAAGTCCAACGGAAACCGAGCAACAAGCGAGTGTGTGCTGACTCGACTGTGTCGGTGTCAGATGTGCAAAAATGCCTCACCAAGCATTTAAGGGACAAGAGCACCACAGACCTCTGGTCATGCATCGTTCCGGGCCCGGATGGTCCCCGTACATGGAGTTTCACCAGACACGCTGATGCCCGGTGGATGGCGAGATTTGCCCCCCTGGCCTTTGACCTGGTCAGCGATGTTTGTCGAAATTCCAAGGTACTCAGCAGAGTTATGATTCCAGCAATCCAAGCTTGCATGTTGGGCAAGGACGTTACCAACACCAGCGGCCATGACGATAAGAAGTTCACTGCCTGTGCTGATATCACGATCAGAATATTGCTCAGCTGGTTTCGCCGGCTGAAAGTTAACAAGAAGAAACGGGAAGCCGCTTTCAGGCGGCTTTCTGAGGCAGAGAAACTCAAAGTCACAATGGTCATGGAGAAGATCGAGCTGAATGAGGAGGAGACTGAAGAGGCTGCCAAGGACGAAGATGGCTCTGACTCCGATGTGGACCTGACCTTTATGGTTTCTCTTGATTCCCTGTGTACGACAAACACAGCAGTGGATCATGACTCGAAGACCTCTGTCGAGATCTTCGCGATCGAGGAGAGTTCTGGATTGCACCGAATGTTCGACAATGTCCTCAAGTCTCCTTCCACTCCTCCTCTTTCCGGTGGTGCTCCTTCCGGTTCTGATCCTTGCGGTTCGGATCCTTGCGGTTCGGCTCCTTCCGGTGCTGCTTCTTCCGGTGCTGCTGCGGCAGAGCAGCCGGTGACTCTGAGCAACTTGGATCTGATTGAATTGGCCAGAAGTCGCAGGCCTGCATTCTCGGAGACCAAGACAGCTTCAGGATCGAAGCCGAAGGACAAGGCCAAGGCCAAGGCCAAGGCCAAGGCAAAGGGTAAAGCCCAGGCGACGGCCGTGGTTAAAAAGAAACTCAAGTCGAAGGCGGTTCAGAAGAAACCGGCGGCTGCGGTTGCAAAGGCCGTGCCTTCCGAACCGGCGGCGGCGGTGGCAAAGGCCGTGCCCGGTCAGGCCGAGCAAATCTTTACTGCTCCGGATGGTGCTGAATATATGTTCATGATGTACGACAGAGGGGTTCCGACTGAGAGGATTGCCATCTGTGAGTGGACAGGCACGAAGAGGGGCCATCAGCTGCTGCAGGTGTCCAGAGTGGGCCTGGCTTCAGAAGCGAGGGCAGCGATTGCTCGGGAGCTCATGGACATGCTGGTTGCTGGCAAATCCCTGCAAGATGTGATAGCCCGGAAGTTGGAGCTACTTTCGGCCGTGTAGTATGATCGCCCTTTTGATGTGTACAGCACTTGGCTGCTAACCCTGTGCCTTTCTTGGTGTTACACCGAGTTAGGTCAGGGGATACAGCGCGTGGCTGCTCGCGATTCGCTGTGTGCCCACCCGCAAAATCTCGTGCACCCCTGTGCTGTCTCATTTCTCTGCGGTTGATGCACCGAAATCGTTCGTCTCTCTCTCTCGCAACGTGTTTGTCAGTGTGTGCATATAGTGCATGGAAAAGCAAAAGAACGGGGCACAGACTCGGTCGCATGTCGGTTGTTATACAATCAAGCCACGAATCCAAAAAAGCATTGCCCCCGGACTCGCACAGGGTCCGGTTTGGACTCGTCTGCTGGAGAAGTGTGGACTGGTCTGGTTGAGAAGTGGAAGGCCGGAGGGTGATAGGTCGTGGCGCTTTTCGCGGGTTTCGGGCACACATCGGTTCCTGTGACTTCGATTTCCTTCTCCGAACCACATCCTTGGAGGGTCTAGAGGATTCATGACGAAGGTGTGTGTTTTGGGTTCGCGGGGTTAAGAGAGAGTTCTCGGGTTAAGGGCTGGCAGGTTCGTTTCAGGTTTATGGGGTTGGGGTTATATATATAAGGGCAGAGGGGTTCGATTTTTGGGTATATGGGGATAAGAGAGAGCTGTTTTGGGTGCACCAGGCCAAGGGGCCCGGGTTTCTGTGGCTGAAGGGGCTGAGGTTTCAGCTTCTTTCTGGCTTGTGGGACACACAAGAGCTGGATCGGGGGCTATATATAAGAATTCTCGGGTTAGGGTGGAGGGCTTTCGTTTCGGGTTCATCGGGGGGTGGCCATCGCTGCCAGGACCCCATGCTGGTCGGATGCCGTGTGGTCGCAGAGGAAAACATCGCAGAAATAGTGTGCTTCTGTGCAGTGGAGAGATGTGTGGTATATATAGCTGTGTGGAATTCATGGTTTTTGCTTCGGCCCGGTCTAGATTGTGGAATTTCGAGCTCCAAAGCAAACTCCCCTGTTCCTTTCTTGGTGTTACACCGAGTTAGGGCAGGGGAGGGCTATGTGAGCACACCACAAAACACAAGACAGCAAAGGGACAGTTTGCTTCGCGGCCCGGTTTAGATATAGTGGAATTTCGAGCTCCAAAGCAACAAAGCAAGCTCCCCTGTTCCTTTCTTGGTGTTACACCGAGGTGTTACACCGAGTTAGGGCAGGGGAGGGTTATGTGAGCACACCACAAAACACAACAAGGGGACAGCGAAAACCATCATGGGGGGTGGGGTGGGGTATAGGGTGGGGTGAGTGTTCTTATGCTCCCAAAACCGGTTTGTTGTGATTGTTCAAAATGAAGTCAAAATCTTCTCAATGGTTTGAGACGGAAACCGTAGAAGTTGCATATATTTTGTGACGGTTTCACATTGTAAAACAAAAGAGTTTTGTAAATTCCGTAGCATTTCAAGCATTTTCTTTAAAACAAAGAGCCAAATTTCATCGGCGAATATAGAGTTCTGTAGAAATTCCATTGGAATCTTCATGAAAAATATTTAAAACGATTGTAATTTTGATTGTGGATTATCAGCAACCAGTAATAAAATTCAGTGAATACATATGGATTTTATTGAAAAATGTCTTTGACTTGCACAAAAACACAGACTTGTGCAGAACGCACATACATTTTAGCTTAAAATCTATAGACATTTCTACCAAAAATGTATAGATTTTAATCAAAAGTTCATACATTTCCACCAAAAATGTATCATTTTAGGTGAGAATCTATACATTTCCACGAAAAATGTATAGATTTTAACCAAAAATCTATACATTTCTACCAAAATTGTATAGATTTTACCAAAAAATCTATACAATTCCACCAAAATTGTATAGATTTTAACCAAAAATCTATACATTTCCACCAAAATTGTGTAGATTTTAATCAAAAATCTATACATTTTCTCCAAAAATGTATAGATTTCAACCAAAAGTGCACACATTTCCACCAAAAGTGCATACACTTTCACCAAAAGTGCATACACTTTCACCAAAAGTGCATACACTTTCACCAAAAGTGCATACACTTTCACCAAAAGTGCATACACTTTCGCCAAAAGTGTATACACTTTCACCAAAAGTGCATACACTTTCGCCAAAAGTGTATACACTTTCACCAAAAGTGTATACACTTTCGCCAAAAGTGTATACACTTTCCCAAAAGTGTATACACTTTCACCAAAAGTGTATACACTTTCGCCGAAAGTGTATACACTTTTGGCAAAAGTGTATACACTTTTGGCCGAAAGTGCATACACTTTTGCTGGAAAAGTCTTAAATGTGAGCCAAAACAAACAAAATCGGGTTCATTCTATAGCTTTTGAATACACAGAAAACTATAAATGCAGAGAGAAAAGCTTAATTTGAAATTTTTTGTTTTCTCCTTCTGATGAATTTCGGGCCTCCCTCGGTGCTCTCTGTCTCTCTCTCCTTCTCTGTATGTGTGTGTGTGTAGCTTT